GACACCGAAGGAGCAGCCCTCTGGCTGGGGAGCAGGCCTTTAAGGTGAGTTTGTAGAGCTCCAGCCGGGAGGCTGCATGTGTGCACGTCCCCATGGCACTTTATTTTTGTAGTGGTACAAAGTGGCTCAGTATTCTGGGCTCGCGTTCATGGGTAGTGCTACAATGCCTAAAATAGCAATGAGGTAATTCAAATAATTGTCTTGTAGCCCCTTTGCCAAATGGAACTTGCTCTTGATTTTTGCCTAGAATGATGGGCTGTGTTTTCCAGCACTCGCCTCTAAACCAAAACTGGGCATTTTTCTAGGAGCTGCAGCAGCTCAAACAGAAGTCACAGCCTTGATTCAGAAATCACTGGGGTAATGCACAGCAAGGTCCAACTGAGTGATTCTAACATCCGCTTTTATTCTGCCTCCTCCCAGGCTCCTTGAAGCCCAGCTCCAGGATCAGAGACGAGAGCATGAAGAAGAGGTGGAGGTTCTGAAAGCTCAGGTGGAAGCTATGAGAGAGGAGATGGAGAAACAGCAACAGGCCTTTTTCCAGACCCTTCAGCTCTCGCCAGAGGCTCAGGTGGAGTTTGGTCTTCAGCAAGAAATCACACGTCTCACTAATGAAAATTTGGTAAGGGACTGTGTAAGAGACCAGTTTCCTTTGTGTTCGATGCTGCCAAACCAGAGCTTGAGGTGACAGGTTAAAAAAGGAAAGTGGTAAAGGCAAGAGTGTGGTGTCCCTCTGTCTGCCCTGCTCATGCATGGGTTTGCAGAGCTACTCTAGCATAAGCCATCTGCAGGCCATTATCTACATGATTAGTCTTGAGCACTCCCAGCTGGTCAGCCCTGCAGCACTTTTAGATTGTTACTGAGTACTGAACTGCTAGTTTATAGAAGTGGGAGGATGACTCGTGCTGTGTGTTGTAAAGGCCCCATTTTCCCAAGTACCCCTGTGGCAATGTGCCTTCCCTACACACCCACACTGCACGACCTCCTACCAAATGTAATGGCTTATGGCCATGGACTGGCCCTATACCCTTTAGGGGGGAAAAATAATTTCCTCCAGTTGCAGCAGTTACTCGGTAGAATTTTATGGCTCATGCTACACAGGAAATTGGACCAGATGATTGTAGTTGTCTCTTCTGGCCTTAAACCTCTGAATCTTGGGGCATTGTTAAGTGGTATAAAACCTTGGTGCTTTCAGTCTGAGTGGATGGGTTGGTGCTGCTTGGGGAACGTTATCATGGTCAAACTGATGAAATCAGTAACGTCAGAATTTAAATATGAATGGTGTCAAGGAAGCAGACTCTCTCAGGTGGCAAATTGTAAATAACTGCGCATTGCTTCCAAGAGAAGTTGAGTAGGGAGACCTGGGTTTGTGTATGTGGGATACGTAGAGGGCACTGAAGAATGATTTCCTCTTCAAATGGTCCTAAACTGTCACAGGGAGAGAGAACCCTTTTGAGGCTTATTTGGGGCAACAGTTACCACTTTTCTGGGCTAGGAAAAGTACCTCTTACAGTGAAACAAAAATGGCCTGCTCAGCATGCCACCTGTTTGAACGTTTGTCCTGTGTCCGGGACATTACTGGCAGCTCACAACAGTCTTGGCAGCAAGAAACCCCAGGGTTAAGAGAAGCTGTGGTTTACTGATGTCACTGGAATGGAGGCAGGATCAGGCCCAGGATTTGCCCCCCCACCTTATAGATGGCACTTCTGCTGGTGCCTTAAAGGCGAAGCAGCCCATCCTGACCTCACCACGAACAGTCCATCATTTGGATGATGATCCGTATTTTACTTAGCCGTGGAGAGGAGGGGATGACCGACAGTATGGGGAGGTAGGAACATGAGAAGTGCCATACTGGGTCAGACCAGTGGTCCATCTAGCTCACTATCCTGTCTCCGATAGTGGCAAAAGTGGATGTTAGATCAATGGTGCTCAAGCTTTTGGCCCTACAAGCCAGATGAGTGGTATAGGACTAGTTTGTAGGTTGGACCAAGCCCAGTGTACTAGGATTGGGCCCTGGAGCTGGCACCTCTCCCTCCCTGCCCCAAAGTGCTGGGACTGGGCCCTGAAACCCTACACTGCCCCTGCTTGCCAGGATTGGCCCCTGGGGACCTGGTACTGCCCACCCCCGCAGGCTGGGATTGGGCCCCTGGAGCCAGGTGCCCTTGAATGACCAAGCCCAAGGCAGAACTCTGGATCTGCTCAGATACAAGTGGGGCGAGTGAGTCTGTGCCCAAAGGCTATTAAAGTGCAGATCTGCTCTGCGGAAATGATCTAGCACCTTCTATTCAACAGCTGTGCTCCTGGCCTGCATGCAGTCGCACATGCTGACGTCGGGAGCAAAACTAGGGTGCAACACTGTTCACTCCCTAAGGGCCTGATCATGCAAAGTGCTGAGTACTTGTGTTTCCACTAGATTCGATGGGAGTTGAGGGAAATCAGGCCCTAACACCATAATTTTTGTATCGGAAAGTTGCTACCAGGGAATGGAGCCTGTCTTAACTCAGAACAGCAACATGTAAAAAAAAAAAAAAAAAAAAAAAAAAAAACCCCCAAAATTGTTTTTT